CTCTATTGTTATCAGACAGGGGCCTGGCCCTGAGTGGTTCTGCCTGTGGCCAGCTGTAGTGTGTGGGTTCTTGTCCTCATGTAGGAAAGATTTCACAAGTCCAGGTGACTATGAGGATGCATTTATTAAAGCTGGGGACAATGAAACAAGGAAGGGCTTACCATAGAAGCAACAGGGGAGCGTAGGCGGGGCTGCCTCACCTCACTGGGAAGTCAGAGAAAAGGGGGCTTTGGGACAGGGTCAGGGGATTAGCCTGGGACAAGCTGCCAGCTGCCCATTGCCTTAGAGTTTCTGCAATGTATGGCTAAGAGAGAAGTGGGGGAGAAGGGAATGGCACAGACTGCTCCCTGGAAGGAGATTGTGGGTGCTGGGTCTGAGATCGTGGGCGCTGGGTCTTTTGTCTTGAGCCTTTGATCTCTTTTTTGCAGGCCTGAATCTTAGGGGAGGTCTCAAGGGAGAGTTTCAGCAGAATATTCGTCAGTTCTCAGGGTGAGCCCTTTCAGGGTCATGGTCTCTTCTGATTGGTCAGTGACATGGCAGGGGGTTTTTTGCCCTTGGTTCTGGTCTTTGCCTACCTGGTTTTGCTACTTTTCTGGGCCTGGAGCTGAAATACAACTGAAACCTAGATGTTATCTCCAGGGAGGAAAGGCCAGGGGAGGAGGTTACCCTGGGGATGACGTCCTTGTTTTTCCCAGTTTTGCCCCCTGCCAGGCATAGGGGCCTTCTGCCCTGGTGATGATCTGCTCCTGACTGTAAATTGCTCAGCCATCTGTCTCAATTTTCTTATTCCACTCACCAAAGAATTTTGCTATTTTCTCACTGTCTTGTCTCACTATCACAAACTAGCTGTGTGTCCTTGGACAAATTACTTAACTTCCCTAAGATTCAGGTTCCTAATTTGCAAAACAAAGATTATAGTTCCTGCCTCCCACATTCATTGTGAGAGGATTTATTCATTTTTTTTGGTGGGAGTGGAGACAGAGAGAACCCCTGATTTTGCTGTCCCACTTATTGGTGTATTCTTTGATCCTTGTACGTGCCCTGACCAGGAATCAAACCTGTGACCTTGGTGTATCTTGACAATGCTGTAACCAACTGAGCTACCTGGCCAGGGCCTATTGTGAGGATTAATTCATGTTTGTGACACATTAAATACTGCTGGGGAGGAAAAATTATCTTCTACTCTTCAAGGTTCTTCTGCCTGGACTAAGAATCAAAGTAACAGAAGACAGATTAGCAAGAGAAAAACTGAGACAGTACAGGGGTAATATCTGCACTCTGACTTGACGAAAAGATCTTCATCTTAGAGGCTTATGACTCCTCGCGTTCAGTCAAATTCTGTAGTTAAAATTAACCTAAACACATCTTTAAAGTAAAGAATGTAAGATGATAACATCTTTCTTAAACGCCACATTCTGCAAAAACAGTTGTTTCATCAATTAATGGTAACTAGAATATTTGCACAAGCATTATTTTACAGGCCCTTTGGGTGGTCCACTGACCACAGAAAATATCTTGTGACCACCCAGGATCAACTGCCACCAGATGTCAATAGTGAGACAACTGACTTCATCCTCATTCCCAAGCCCTATGCCCATCCCAAGAGCCCTGTAAAAGCCATCAGCAAGAACCCCTTGGGAGCCTGACTTCTCTTTCCTGGTCGACTCCCTCGTGCACAAGCTCTTTGCAACAAACTATCTGCTTGACTTGTACTGAGTTCATTGCTTATTTCTATGGCATTGAATCTCAAGAACCTGGCATTTAAGTCTGGTAACATTACTATGTGATAACTAAGGACCTAGAAGGCCAGAGCGGAGTGTGTATGTTGGGAGCAACTGCTGAATAAAGGAAACAGTGGGGCTACAGTAGTCTCATTGTCAAATCCATTCCTATTTTTGGAATCCCTAAACTAAAATAGTGCTTTTCCCTCCAAAACTTTAGTTGGTGATTTTATTGAACTTCTTTCCTGTAAAGAAAGACAAATTGGTGGCCAGTCCAGTTTTGCCTCAGGGCACTTGTCTGAGCAAGGACAAAAAGGCAAGATCAAGTTGTAATGATAGGACGTTCAGTGCTTGCGGGGGTCCTGGGCAGAAGATCCCAGCCTGGTTTCTTCTCCTGACTCCATGGCTGTTTCGAGTAGGAACCAGAGCCACTGGCTGGAAGCCAACCTTTATTAATGTGAATTAATTCTTCCTTTTCTTTTCCATTCTAAGGTATTTATTTCTATCACATTTACTTGCATATATTTTTATGATACTAAGCAGACACCCTCTTTCCTGTTAAGTCCAACCCAAAATGCTTCAGGTAAAGTTAAGGGTTACATACTTCAAAAATCCAGTGAAGGGGTGGAAAAAAGAATAACTATCAGACATTTCTCCAATGGACCTCAAAGTGAGAACTGCTTGTGCTCTAGTCTCTGGGAACTGTAGACCCGTGGTGTTCCGATTACCCTGAGGCTGCATTTTCTGTTTTTCTGTTACCTTGAGTCATTTGCCTTTGAGATTGACATTCACATCTATTCACAAAACTAAAATGCTTCAGTACCACCAAGCTAAAAATAAAAATTGATTACAAAACTTACCTTAATTCTGTCTCAAATTCATTTGTTTTCCTCAAATTGGTTAAAAAACAAAAACCATGAACCTTGCCATCTACCATTCATTCCTCTAGGCCTTGGAAGTCTGCCCTCAGAAGCTTCAGACCAGATGCTTGAGAAAATAAGCCTGCAAAAGAGAAACCTACAACACCTGGAAATCGGGCAACATTCCATAATAAAGCCCTTGCCACTTAAGTACACAACTCTTCCAATTACCATTACTAAAGTACAGGTTACCACAGCAAGTTACTAAAAACCTAGACATGGCCAAACTCCTGGACTTTCACACACCACTGGCTGCCTGCATGTGGCTGTATTACACACTGGGCTCCTCTATCTACCCTCCACGCCTAAGGAGATTTTCTTTAAAACCACCAGAAAGCTTTCTGAAGGCAGCACCTTTTCCTTCCAGTAGCCCACCCCACTCCAGGGCTTCTCCTTTCCAGCTTTGCCTCCAGCTGGCCTACTAAGCTGTTTATTTGCTGGAAGCAAATTTTCCTCATTCTTTTAGTTCCACTTCTCCCAGATTGAGAAATTCTGGGCTTGCTCCAGATTTGTTGTTCTTTTCTTCAGTCTCAAGGTTTTTTTTTTTTCTTTTCCCTTTGCTATCAGGCCCCTTGTCCTGGGTTTGTGCGGCTTTGTTCTCTGCCTATGGATCACTGATTGACAGGGCTCATGCCAACGGGTCGTTAAGATCCCGAGGGATAGGCCAGGTGGCTTTTTCACCCACACCCTGAGACTCCTCATAATTGCATCGATGCTCACGTACCTATGTGGAAAATACTTGTGAACTGTCAGGCTTGGGGTTAATTGGTTTCAGTTTACGTCTTAGGGGAGCAGAGTCCTATTGCATATGCAGCCCTGGTACAAGTGCCCGAACCAGCTTCACCCTAAGAGGAGTGGTGTCATGAAGAAAAGCAATTCCTTTTACTCCACCCTTTCATACACCGCCTCCAGCTCCTTCCAAATGGAACAGATGAAATCTTAAGATTACAAGTTTTCAAACTCAATTAATTGTTCATTAATATCCAGGAGTGGCAGATATACGCTGCTTCCCTTTTCATCGCAGGTCAAAGATGAAATTTGATTATGCTTTGAAGGATGTAGTTTGCCTCTTGTAATTCCTTGCTGTATCTTTATCAGTGTTCTGTTGCCCAGAGCAGCCTCAAGTGCCCTTATTTAACCAAGGGAGGCGCACTTGTCTGCATATATAGAGACAGGAGCAAGCACTGGGAGAAGTCAAACCCGTTCTGCACAATGAAGAAGCAGCATAAGATGGAGGCAGCCCCACACTGTGAACTAAGTAAGTAGCAAGCATGGAACAGCCCAGGGAAGTTGCCCGGCTGGGTCGAGGTTCCCAAAGGAAAGGTTCTGGTCTGGAGGGACTTTCTCAAACTCCTCCGATGTGTTATAGAGGGATTTTCAGAACTAATTTGTGCATTTTCTTTTCTCTCCAGGACAAAGTCTGTATGCAAATCAGCCTGTACAAGTTAACGATGCCTTCAGCCCAGTTTTTGGGTCCCCAAGTTTTTTACTTTGTATTTTATTTGGATTTTTCTTTTTGCAATTTACTCTCCTTTTCTCATCTCTTGGACTCTTACAAACTAGGGAAATTTTCTCTTAGCAGTTATTACATGAATAAAGAAGTTGGAGGGGTTTATGCTTTTCCTCTCTAGGCTTACCACTCGGTTAAATAAGCTTGGCTATCTTTATTATAAGTGTGTGTGGGGTGTATGTGTAGAGATGTTTCCATACCTCTAAATGATGTTGTAGAAAATTAGAGTGGTTTGTTAGGCCATTTGTTTTCTCTCCTCTATAGCACCATTAGTTTAGCTGCCATCTTCAGAAAAAGACTCTAGGATGTGAGGTTGAGGCTGGGGATGGAATGGGATTACTTTTGGGTAAATGAAGATAAAGCCTTGGGGAAGAAGTGAGACAGATGGGTAGGATAGAGGAAAATGATTCATTACCAAGGCTTGGGAGTAGGGCATCTGTTGAGATCGAACTGGCTGCAGTAGCTGATGTTTCGCGGTTCCTCTCAAGTGTGGGATGCTCTTGGTGGGACACAGATACTATGATGTGGCTCTGGGGGCGAGAGGAAAGGGTCCCGCAGGTGGCTGTACTTTACAGGGTGGAGCTGTACGTCGGCGAGCCACGTCTCCAGAAGAAACGAGGTAGATTGCCATTAGCTAACGTGAGGCTGAGACGAACTATTGCACGAAACTTATCCGTCCGCGGGGTGCGAGCCTTGCAAATTCACACTCTGTGGGCTGAACCAGCATAAGCACCTGCTCCGTAGGATGCAGCTCCGCCCAGGCCGCTGGGGCCGCGCCCCCAGCCAGATCTCGGGGTGGGCGGAGCCTCGGGACTTGCAGTGGAGTTGCCACGCGCGCGGGCAGCTGCCGGGAATTCAGGGAATCCAGCCAATAGGAGTGCGCGGCTGCTGTGCAATCGGCCAATGGCGGGGCGTGTAGGGGTTGGATGGCTTGGCGCTGGGTCCAGGACTATGGAGCCGCTGGCGTGGGTACAGCTTGTCTGGTGACTGCGGGGCTGGTAAGGCAAAGGCAAGCGAGGTCAGGGGTAAAGCGGCCGCTCTGTTTTTCCCAGTCTGGCCGGGAGGTCGCGGGGCGGCTCGTGGGTCTGCCTGGGAGAAGGCGCTGGGGGACGCAGGGTGCCGTGCGGGACTGCGGGGCGGTGCGGGCAGGGAGGGCCAGAGGCGCGGGTTCCAGATGGAGCCGCGTTATTCGGAGGGAGAAGAGGGCGCGAGGAGTGGGGTCTGGGGGTGGGCGGGGAACGAACGCCGGAGTTCGCGGGGCCTCACCCCTTCTTTCCGCGGCCTAGGGGAAATGGCCAACCCCTGGCTGGACCTGCTGCCGCGCGGGCACCCGTGATCGAGGGTGGGGGGATGGTTTACCCGCTTCACGACGCGGAATAGGCCGATGGGCACAGGGCAAGGTCCTGGTGGCCTCCTTATCTACGGAGCTCTGGGGCCCCGTCCGCTCCCTGGGCTCCCCACTTCAACAAAAAGTTGATTTTTGAGTAGCAAATAGAGCGACTTCCTGCGAAGGGCCCGGGCGGGCAGCTGCGTGCTTGTGCTTAGATTGGTTTTAGGCCTGCTCGTGCAATTATCGTGTGTGGTATGGAATGGTATGTAGGTGAGGTGGATGCTCTTCATTTGTTCGGTTTCTTATGTACCTAATTTTAAAGCTGTCGCTTACTTTTTATTATATCACCTTTGGATTCCTTTTCACTTTTGTTTTTCCCAAATACCCCGCCTCATATATCAGACTATTTTAAAGAGCATCACTAGGGGAGAAGTTGAGGAATCTGGGCTTGAGTTTCCTGTGTGTGAAATGAAGATGTTCTCATATTGTCCTCTGCTTTCAAAGGAGTGTTGGGAAGTTAAAGGAATGTGACATCTTTTTAAAGTGGAAAGTAAAAGCAAAAATTATATGGAAGGAGAGTTAAGGGTTTCCAGAAACTTTTGCTTCCCTAGTTTTAGTGATTATTGGTGAAACCAGGGGGACACTGTGTTTGTCTTGACTCCTATGGAATCTGAAACCCAGCAAGTTTGCACCACGTTTTTGGCTGTGTAAACTTGTGCATAAGTTGCTTAGCCTCTTTGTTTCCACATACTTGAGATGGGGATTGATAGCAATATCACTTTTATAGTGTTGTTGGTGAGTATTAAATGAGGAAATACACACAAAGTACTTAGAACTGTTGCTGGCATGTGGGAGGTACCCCCCCCCTTTACTATTCCCTACATGTGCCTTCTTCCTCTTTAAAGATTCTAAACTTAACCTTTGATCAGAATCCTGTTAGCCTATTGCCAGTGAACCTGCGTCATTAACATTGATCTCAGTGTATAGTATAAATTACCCATGACTACAGGCTTCCTGCTGGGTGTTTATTGTTATTAAATAAGGTTGGAAACTATTACTATACTGGGTCCGTCTGTGGTACCTGCTTTGGGTACAGGAAACCTGAGAACTTCCTTAGCTGTTTAATTTTTCATTGGAAAATACAGCATTTACAGCCTTGGGGCCTAGGCAGTTTATTTTGGACCCAGATCCAATACCAAAAAGGCCATGATTGCAGCATACTTGATTTCTCATGTTTCTGGAATGGCCAAGTTGGGACTGGGGAGGGGAATTTCTTGGTAGCCTGGCAGCATTTCTTGTTAAAGAATGGGGAAGCTTGGTGTGAATCTAATCTTATTCTGCTGTTAGGAAATCAGCGATGTTCTTTGGATTACTCTACAGAGCTACCAGTCAGCTTTAGCTCAGTTTTGACCTAGTAAAGTGAAGGTTAGAGGTTAAAGAATGGTATCCACAAAGTATAGTTTGTCTGTTTGACTGTTAGTGTTAAAAGCTTTAGTGGGTACAATGGAATCAAAGACATCATTATTCCCTGCCTCCTCACCATGTGCCTAAATACAAATGTGTGATGACAGATTCATGCCCTTTCTATGAGTTTCAAAGTCCCTCCCTGCCTCTGGAAGGCTCTAATGGAAAACTGTCATGTCTTCTAGTTCTCTTTCAAGGAAGCTGCTATTTATACATGTAGCCATATTGGGAATTAATTGCAAAATGAGAAACTTTGAATTTACAAAAAAGAATATTGCCACCTGGCCAGCCTGGCTCCGTTTGAGCGCCTTCCTGTAACTGAAAGGCTGTGGGTTTGATTCCACATCAGGGCATATACCTGGGTTGCAGTTTCCACCCCTGTGTGGATCCCTGGTCTAGGTGTGTTTGGAAGGCAATTGATCCATGTTTCTCTCTCACATGATGTTTCTCTTTTTTCCTTCCTCTCTTTCTAAAAACAATGAAAAAATGTCCTCTGGAGAGGAAAAATTAAAAAAAATTTTTTTAAAGAAGAACATTGCTTAATCTAGTAGTGTGCTGGCCTGATGTGGCTGAAATGCAGATGGTATAAGTTTAGTTATTTAGCTTTGCAATAAGACAATTTCTTACTACTATAAGGGTGGAAATTAGATGTTGGCATGGTGAGTGTGGAGGACAGTGTCTTTGTGAATCCTCTTTATTTGTACTTGAACAAGGAGGAAAAGGAGTGACGTCTTTTTTTAAGATTTTATTTATTTATTTTTAGAGAGAGGGGAAGGGAGGCATAAAGAGTGAGAGAGAAACATCAATGTGCAAGAGATACATCAGTCGGTTGCTTCTCACATGCCCCCAACTGGGGACCTGGCCTGCAACCCAGGCATGTGCCCTGACTGGGAATTGAACTGGTGACCTTTCAGTTCATAGCCCAATCTACTGAGTCACACCGACCAGGGCAGGAGTGACATCTTTAAAGAGTTGAGTTTTTGCCCTGACTGGTGTGACTCAGTTGGTTGGGCACCGTTCCATACAACAAAAGGAAGGGAAGCAAAGTGAAGAGTTGTTGGTTTGATTCCATGTTAGGGCACATGCCTGAGTTGCAGGTTCAGTCCCCGGTTGGTGCACGTACAAGAGGCAACTGATTGATGTTTTTCCCTTCCCCCCTCTCTAAAAATAAGTAAATAAAATCTTTTAAAAAAAGTGTTGAGTGTTTGAGGTAGAAAAGGGAGCCTGTTGCCCTAATATTGTCATGTTTATCATATGAGTCTCTGTGGTTTGAATAAAATATTTTGGAAAAGAAGGCTGGCAGCAGTTGAATGTATAGAATATCAGGAGTTAGAAGACCTAGACCCTTGTCTCACTCAGTGGATGCTATTTGTTCTTTTGATAATTTAACATAAATATATTGAACGATTAACTTTTTTAAGAAGAGATTTTATTCACTTTTAGAAAGAAGGGAAGGGAGGGAGAAGGAGAGGGAGAAAAACATCAGTGTGTGAGAGAAACATCAATCGGTTGCCTCTTGCATGCCTCCAGCTGGAGATCTGGCCCACAAGCCAAGCAGGTGCCCTGACTGGGAATCAACCAGCGACCTTTTGGTTTGCAAGCTGGCACTCAATCCACTGAGCTACACCAGCCAGGGCGAACAATTAAATTTTTTTGACCCCTGGAGACTCAAAGAAGAGTCAAAGAGACTCAAAGAAGAGATAATACCTACAAGTATCATCAGGAATATCATTAATAAAGTAAAACAACATAAATATATTATAAGCTATATTTTAATAAAATCAGAATAGAATATGAAAGACTTGGACAGGAATGGTAAAAGTATATTTATTGTCTAATTGCTCTTCCATTTTCATTTTTATTTGTTTAAAAATATTTTATTTTTAGAGAGGGGGAGGGGAGGAGAAAGGGAGAGAAATATCAATGTGTGGTTGCAAGAGATACATCAGTTGGTTGCCTCTCACACACCCCATACTAGGAACCCCGCCCACAACCCAGGCATGTGCCCTGACTGGGAATCGAACCAGCAACCCTTTGGTTCTGCAGGCTGGCACTCAATCTTCTGAGCCACTCCAGCCAGGGTTGCTCTTGTGCTTACCTGCCTGCCTTCCTTCCTTCCTTCCTTCCTTCCTATAAATTAGCTCTTGGCACTTTTAATTTATGGTCAGAGTAAATTACATTTTTTAGTGTAAGAACCAGTTTCCAGTGAGGACTTAAATTGGGAAGTTAGAGTTTCAGTGTTTGTGCCTATTGGCTGGTAGGTCATCTTGTATGGGTTATTTTTGTTTGTTTTGGTCCCATTTATTGCTAATAATCAAGTGTTAGTTAAACTTCCATGGAAATGAAAGGAGAAGGCAACAAGTTAAAAAGAGCAGAAGGAGGCACAAGTGAGCTTGAAGAATCTTGCAGTATGCATTGCCTGTCTTTATACATAATTTGTTTTTTTGCTTTAAGAAAAGAAATGTTGAGGTAAATATGTACTTAAAATTGTTAAGGCCAGGCTACATGGGGGGGGGCAATGCTGTCATTAGAATAAATGAGTTGAATATAATCTGGTAATAATTTTTTCATCTTTACCAGAGCAAAACACTACTTAACCAGGTATAAGGACAAAACATTTTTTTCCTGAGGCCAGAAACAGACATAAGCTGATTGATGGGCTTTTTCATTTCTCTCTAAAGGGGTCTCTGGAATTGTTCGCAGAGTTGGAGCTGTGTTCCAGGACAGCCGTGGTGGGTGGGGGGCAGGCTGGCCTGCCAGAGGGCGGTGCACTGCTGTAAACTTCTCGTCCGGAGGGAATCAGAGGGAGCTCACACTGGGCGAGTTGGGAGGAACAAAGACCAAACTGTGGTCTCTAGGAGTAAGACTTTCATGAGCAGTCAGTAAAGGCTTGGAAGCTGGTTAAGCCCCAGCACTGAGCAGAGAAAGTGAAGAGTTGTATTTAGGAGGTGTCTGGCCCTTCCAAGTCTGAAGTCTCTGGCTGACGAGTGGTACTTCTGTGTGAAAGATCTGTACTTCTTGCCAGCCTGCCCACACTTCTCCCAACTGTTATCGTCATTCACACCCAAGCAGCTGGGCTTATTATCAACTGACTCTTTCTCCCCATATCTTACTCCCTCTTTCCTTTTGCTAATTAATTTTCTCTTTTCTTTCTTTGTCATGAGATGTTCTCAATGTTAGGTTTTTCTTTCAAGTATAAAACAGAGCCTCAGAAG